TCGCATGGTTCCAAGGGAGGAGGGGACTCTCTTTTCACTCCCCCTCGCTACCTCCCAGAAGCCCCACTCCCTCCTCTCCTCCCCACCCCTCCTCCTCCTCTGCCTTTGTTCCCCCATCTTCCCAGAGTCCGTCCTAAATCCGCCTATGCTGGTGGCCGGCGCTTACTGGTTGCGTTAAGTTCGTTTCTATAAGAAATTACCAGCCCAACGGTTCTAGTAAAAGCACTTGGCAAGGCTTTAACCGTTTCAGAATGAGTGTAGTTTGTGTATTGCGATTTTGCATCGAATGTTACCACTGCTAGATCACATTGAAGCGCTTTGCTGACTAAAAGTTTGAGACCGACGTAAGGATTGTATCTCATTTTTCCGGGCAAATTGCACCAAAAATCAGCATTTGAATGCGTTTCTGAATCGGGTTGTCATTGTTTAGCTATTGCTGCCACGGTTTAGAAACTTCGTGATTTTATATATTCAGATGACGGGATTCAGAAAACAGTAAAAGATTGTAAAAGCATGAAAATGGTGGTAGTAGAATTTATGCTTATTTAGTTTGGCCGGTTTTTCCGGCGTTGATATTTGTAAGAATAACCGATTGGAAAAACTGATATATGTCGCACCATTTTCGGGATTTATCTCATAAAATCTCACTAAAAAACGGGCTTTAATCTTTTAATTTATAGAATTTTATGTTTTTCTTGCAAAATTCCCTTTATCGCTGAAAAGTTAATTATTGGGTATTTCAGTTTGGTCATTTAAAAAGTTATTTCTTTCCTCTCTCATCTTCTTGCTCCTTACCTCTCCCCCTCTCGGTCTCTCCCCTCTCCCTCCGCCCCTCACTCCCTCTCCTCCCTTCTTCCTTCTCCTCCTCCACTTCCCCTATTCTTTCCAGTATGCACTTTCACCAAACTTTAGGACATATTCGCTTCAAAAAAGCTCCGATTACTTCACTTTATTGGAGGTATAAATAGTGAAATAAAAAGATTGGAATTAGGTGTCATGGATAAGAAGACATTTCACGATGCAGTCTTTGTGTTTCATCCCTTAGCTGTAAAATGTTTTAGCGCATTTTGTTGTCTTTAGCTAAGTAGATTTAGATTTTTGTGATTGCATATATATCGAATAAATCCGCATCAGTAATACTTTATAAATTTCTTTTGCTCTCAATTTTAGCTATTACAATTTAAAATTATTGCCTTTGTTTTTAATTAGCACTTCCCATTCACTCATATTTTTCCCAGTATCCGACCTTTTTTTATGTTATTCTCTATTTTTATTACCATCATCATTATTATCGTTATCACCATTGCTAGAATCGCTGTTTCCTTATCGTTATAAATATTATTTAGTACGAAAATTTCTTTCAAAAACTCGTTTTCTTGTTTTGGTTCTGCCAGCCATACTAAACCGAATGTCACTCAGCGCAGCTGTTAAGTTCATGGCTCCGAAAGAGATGCTTGCCGAAATATCGCCAGCTTATTGTTGATAAAAACGATGATTCACAACAGCAGCAGCAGATTAACCATAGCGTTGAAGGTGAGGAAAGCCAGCAGCGCGATTCGGCTCCTTTTGTTCCTGTTGTTACAACTGCAACAGTACGCGAGTGCCTGGGCAATACCGAACCTGGTTAGTTCAATTTCCACCAGTCCTGGTGTCATTTTTGAATGAAATAATTGAGCAGGAGACAAGGGATCAATCTAAATATCATTTGCAAGAAGATATGTTAAGATGTAGTCTGTGTTTCACCCCTAAGCTGTAAACACAGACCGAACGTGGTATGTGGATAGCAGTGGGAATCATCAGTACAGCCTCCTACCTACCATGTGTTTATGGTGAGTGTGTCTCAGATAGCGTAAAGCTAGAGTGATGAGAAGGTGAAAGAGAAGACGAGAGACTAATGCAAACGTTGGCGGATCCTTTCCCACTCTTCCTCCAGCGGCACAGGCAGCAGTGCTAAAAGTGAAGAAAACTGTTTTCGATACCGTCGTCGCCCCTCCCCGTTCCCTCTACCACAGAAGGCCCGATCTCGATCGCTGTCGGTAGGGCTGTTGAGGAGAGGGAGGAGGAGGGGTTGGGGTGGGAGAGTATGAATTCCGACGTAGTAGCCCAGGAGGGCGCCCTGGATCCGACTATGAATGTAACGACCATGTAGTGGTTCTCTCGTACTTCTTTCGTTGCATAATTTCGATAGCTTCATAACTCTTCTGTGCAACGACTTCCTCCCATTTTTCTAAAACGGCTTCCTTTCTGTCCTACGTGAAATCGCGTGATAATCGCAGGGGTTATTCACGAGTTGTTGGCTTCATTGTTTCTTTCATTGAATGCTGTAAGTGTTGTTTTCGTTTCTACACATCCTTTCGCCAGTTATCACATGTTTTTCTGTTCACTGAGTGCATTGCTGGTGTGCAAAAAGGCTCATTATGTGCTAGCTGTTTGGTATTTACGCAGGCTTTGGAATTATTTTTTATCCGATTTTTCACAGTTTTGGATATTTTCAGAGCAGATCGCTTACATCAATCCGAAAAGCGAACACTATCTACCCGGCCCACTACAGCAGTATAAAGCGTTTGTGTTTTGCGCAACTCCGGATACCAACTACTTAAATTCTTCGTTCAAAGCTGCTCGTGCAGAGAAGTTGAACTCCTTTCGGTTGCCTATCAGTCAGTTTGTAAAGTAAGTAGGAGTTTTAAATTATGATGACAATATGGTACAAAATTTTTCATATATTGCATGAATTTGATGCCGTGTTGTTTCTAGTTCACGGGTGGGCAACTGATGGCCCGCGATGGGTTTTAATCTGGCCCGCGGAGGGAATCGAGATGTGATGCCTAACTAGACGAACGAGGATTTTTACTCCATCACGCCTCTGCACTCTCATGAAAATAAACAAAACTAAAATAAGCAGAAGGCTAACAGAAGGAAATGTACAAAATACTTTTAGACCCTGTCTTAGTGACATAAATCAAGATTTCAAAAATCTCATGTCAAAGCTCAGGCTCACATTAACGCGCTGTTGTTTTTTTTTTTTTAACTGAATGAACAACCTGATAAAAACTTATTTGTTTTTATGCTTTTGTGCATCTTATGCAAAAGCAAAACTAATGAGCAGTAGAGTTAATGGGAAGTGGTTTCATTAGGTTTTTATTTTTTTTTTTTTGGTTTAGTCTGCTTCCTCCTTTTTTTGGTTTAGTGTTTATTTTAATGTTGTTTTATCTGTTTAGTTTATTTAGAATAAAATTTTGAAAAAATACAGGATGCTTTTAGATGAGTTTTTATAATTTTTAGAATGATAGACTCATTTCCAAAACAGGCAGGAAAGGTAAATTAAACGAATTATTTTTGTCAGTTACTTGCAGTTTGGGTAAAACACCGGTAACAATGCCATTGAGGATAACAGCAAATATAATCCGTGATGTTTATGCGAGTGATGTGCAATGGAGAGAAGCATTCCAGAAGCATATACCTTATTTCGATGTTGTGGCCACCGATGTGTACCGCAGTCATGAGAATGACAAAAATAACCTCCAGGTATTTTTTTTAGCAAAATTCACGTTTACGTCTTATGAAAGCAGTATTGTAAAAACGCAAACGCAGGAATTCCTTTGAAAAGGCGTAAAAAGCTTTCTGTTTAGAATTAGGCTGGAGTTTGAATGCTCGTGCATAAATCTGTACTTATCTGAAGTACCTGGTGTTGTTAAACGAGAATAATATTTATTAAAAATTGAACAAAAAAAAGGCAGTACGGGCCTAAAAGGCCTTGTGAAGAAAACAGTAAGAAGGGGCCGGAACACCGGCCTAATCAGCGAAGGGTATTAGATGGCAGGGGCCGCACCAATCGTGCATGCAATAGGAATATGCTGGGGTGGGACGATAGTTGCCCAAAATCCGAGATGGTAGTGAGAGGAGGAAAATGAAAAAGTCAGATTGTTGTGACGCATATTTTTTAAAAAAAAAAAACAGGGTGGAATTTAAAAGAAGTCATGTAAAGAGCAGTATGTAAAAAAGCCTGCTTGTGTTTCATTCCCAAGCTGTAAACACAGACAGCAGGATGCGTGGTTAGGGGTGGGAATCATCAGTACAGCCCCCTAACCACCATGTTCAACCACTTCCAGTT